CCAGCTCAGGAGATGCCATGGGAGTTGCTAGGGGTGGGGGGAGGCAATAGGGACTTTGCACATTCCTGCACATATTTGTACATATTTGTACATATTTTCTTTTATCCTTCGTATCTCATTAAAGCTGCCTGGGTTCGTTTTTAATCCAGGAAGCCTCTCTCCTTATTCTCTCTCCGTTCCCTACCTGGGTGGGGGTGGGAGGAAGATCAAGAACATAGTGGTCATGGGTTTAATTGCTGATCCTGAGTCAAACTGTGACAAAGGAATTTGTCCTCCCTCCAGTCATAGGCAGGAGCAGAGCTACTCTTTCTCAGCTCCCACACCTCAGTGCTGCTGCTCAACGTTTTCTCCTTGCTCTGCTGCCAAGGACCCACACCCACCAACTCATCCCTCTCCTCTTCTGCACAGAGGAGACTAAGCCAGGGCTGCTGATAGTACATGCTGCCTGGGAGGAGAACATTCATCTGAAACTAAAGAAAGAAGGAGACACCCTCCTCCTCCCACCCCAAAACAACCTATCCTCCCACAACTGGAAACTAGTATTTTTGGCCATATCTCAGAGGCATTTCACTGGGTCCACTCCTCACTTAGTCAACAGCTTTTTTATTTGAGATGTTTATGGAGTCAAGAGGACACGTGGAAACCTTTCTAATATGTCAAGACAGCACTTCAGCATTTCAATTTCAGCAGTTAACAAGGAACATAGTCAAGCCTCTCATTAAATATCTCTGCAAAGCAGAGTTTCAGGATTGAGCCCAAAGTCCCTTCATGCCAACAGAAATTAAGTCAAAAGAAACAAAACACACTGGACCTAACGGGTGCAAAAACTCTGGATTTAGGAAGTGAAGCCTCAATGACAAAGGGAAAGATTTGCCTGGAAGCTTCATAAGTCAGTTTCATTTCAAGTTTCCAGAACACCCAGTACAAAATGTAGCCTCCCCAGCTCATCCGAGCTGAATTGCCACTGACAGACATTCAGTAGCCAAACACAGCAGAAAAATAATCATTCTGATCAAATGCTCCACTATGACTAGTCAGCAGTGAAGCTGCAATAAGCTTGTTCAGAAGAACTTGGCTCACTTTCCTACACATGCACAAGGAAAAATGTTTTCTCTATGAATATTTAATTCTCCCTTATTTTAACAGATGTTTTGCCATGTATTTATATCCCTTTTAGTGACAATTCCATTAAGAACTGCAGCCATTATGCATTGGAGAAGGAGGAATATCCTGAAACCATCCTGCTTCCACTGGATTATTGTGCAGAGCCTTCCAGTGTCCTGCACTTTCTCTAGAAGCACTTACCAAGAAGCTTCCTACCCACAACAAATGAAAAACAACCTAGAGGTCATTTTTACACATCTCCAGTGCCATGATGGACACAAGCAGGACACTGCACCCTGCTGCCCAAGGATTGTCTTTGCTGTACACATTTAACTGACCACCCAGAACCAAAAGTGTGATCTTGCTAAACTTCTTTCTGGAGAATCTGCCAGAAAAGCTCATCCTTCCTTTGGAGGAGCATAAAGGGGAAAGGTGGAAAAGCCCAAGGAGGTCACTGGCCAACATTCAAGTGATGCCACCTGCACCCTCTGGTGCTAGCAAAGGGATAAAGTTTGTGGCTTCAGTAGGAAAAAGAGCTCTCAGCCAGACCCTCACCTCATGCAGGTTTGGGGCACACAGGGGAGAAAAGCCTGTAAGTTCTGCTTCTTTTCTCAAACTGCAGTATTTATTGGTAAAATCCCTTCTGAACCAGAACATGTTTTTGCTGCTCTTTGAACTTCAAGCAGAAGGAAGCAAGTTCTATGCAGCTATGGGGG